AGAAGCTTATGGAGAGCCCAGTATGTTAGGGAGCCGTGAGACAACTAGTTTTCCAGTACCAATTATCAAACACACCCCTGTCCTCTTCCTCCTCCTCTGCCTCCACCGTCGCCATACTGCCAGAATTCGGACCTCACCCTACGTGACAGCGGCAATCAGCCTCGTCTACTGCTAAGGAGATGATTCTGTTGGATATGATCCGTGGTAAGAAAGCATTGGAGCTGTTGCGGTGACCCGAAAAAATGAGCCTTTGGCACAACGATTCTTGACTTAGTAAATATTCTGTTGTGATTAATCTTGTCCTGGTATTTGCGGTTTACGGATTTGGCAGCCTACAGTCGTTTTAAAAAGAAAACTAATGCGACTCATTGGTTCATGCTAAACGGGATACTAAGAAGAATCAGAATGGGAAGAACTTTAACCAGCTCAAACTGCATTCACTTTTCCCGCAACTGCCTACTATAGAATTTAAGCACGTATCACAGAGTTTAGCTGATATTGGACCTGAAAATCCTGGGCATTAAAAGGATGCTGTTAGTTTGGCTAAAACATTCTGGAGAAATTAACTTCACTTCATCGTCAACGCTGGGATGCTAAGGCATGTCGTCTCGCTCAATATGGACTCACCATTCGACACTGCAAATTTTTGTCTTTGGGAATGGTGACTATGCTGAATTCAACACTCCCACAAAACGATATCCCTCACGTTCAATTTCGCCACAGGTTACGCATTGACCAGGCGTCCAGAATGTGGTCTGGCATGGGATGCCTAGCTGTTTAGTGGACTACGGAGCTGAATGACTGGCATGTGTTGGAAAGCTCTATAAAAGCAGCCACGGTAGTGATCGTCACTAAGCCGCCATTTTCCACGATCGTCTTAGAAGCCATTGTATCATCTGACTGGCCTACCATTGTGCGGCTCCTGAGCATCCTATCATCATTCTGTGCTGTTTGAAGTCTCTAATAGACACAGGTAGATATAGATACCTGTGTTTCAGGCTTTGTGACTTCGTTCATCACATTTTACCGGTACCACATGCACCCGTCTACTACCGTCACTGTTGTCTGCTTCTTTGATGAATGGTGCCTGAACTTAAATGCTCTACAACTAACTAAGACAAGATGGTTGTTTTTCACCGCTGTTGTTATATTTTGTGCACAGCTTGCCTTCACCTCCTATCCATACCCAGGGAATTGCTTTTTGACTAAAAATATGTGCTGAGGTTTGATGAAGCTGTTATTCGCTTCCTTCTGTTGCAGTTCAAATGGCTTGATTTACCTGAGGCTTTGGGTTAATGCCATCGTAGGACCCTGTTTGTTAAAGTGCGTCCATGACTGTGTAGATATGCAAGGAAGCCGTATCTTGTTATGAATGGAGCAATAAATCCGACTACCACGAACTGAGATTTCCCAAGTATGCATGAGAACAGCGAGGCTGTAGAATGCAGCATAGTTATGCTTGAGACCTTATACACTGGCGATGAGGGCATCTACTTCTGCATTCTGTATTGCTAGACCTGGGCCTTTTCTGTATGACTGTGGCAATGCCACTTCTAAAACGCTGGCCTTACAATGCATGTAGTGGCTAATCCGTTGCTACGCTGTAACAAATGGGGATTACATATTCGCCCTGTAAGAGCATTACTGTTTTGGGAAAGTTTCCAACTGCTAGATGGATTTGAAAGACTACGGTGTGTTAACTCCATAGTTCCGTTCAATATTCACTCGACACTTTAGCTTAGATAAATTCTAACCTATCCTCCAACCAACGCGCACATTTCTTTTTGTAGTGAACATCTTGCAACTTTTTCATGTCCTGTGGGGAACGAAGTGATTAGGACCAGCCAAAATTGAGCAGAAACTAGTACTTCGCACCCTATGGAGGTGTCGTTTGATGGCTCTCCTTACCCTCAGGATAGGTAGGCATCCGGTTTAGCTGGATCCTCTTGACAGTGCTAAAAGTCGTGATTTAGTTTTTGCGATGGCGGCGGGACTATTGCACATGAGCAAGTTTTCCGACAAAAGAGGCAGGACCCATCCCCTTGACCGTTGTACCACATTCTTTGTAGACTTCAGTTCCCCTTTGCCCGTCCCAGTCCATTGTCAGTTCGTAATCAGCTCGATTATTTGCACCCACCGACACACACAAGGTCATTGGATGGCTAGGCTTGGTGCAACGTGCGTGCACAAGCGTTTCAGTTTTGTCCCAGTGCCTTCCATGTGCGATGGACGTTTTCTTTCACTGATTTTAGTGCTCCTTTCGCCTGTATCATCTCACCAACACCTTCCACCCTTCAGTCTTGACGGTCTCGTCTTCAACATTTCCACCCATGTTGTAGAGGGTGCTGAGGTGTCTCCACTATGAGTACTCCATCCAGCCACAGCCCTACTACGGTCTCTCCTTGATCATTTCCATTGTGGAGGTCAGCCTGACCAAGGAGAATGTTGTGGCAGTCGCATCCACCCAATTTAAATTTCTTGAAAATCTTCGGGAGGCTCACAAGAAGCCTGGCAAAGTAATGAATGCAAGTTACAGTATTGTTCTGTGGGCCCATTACCATCGCCCTTCTTTCAGTCGACCAGCCTCCTGAACTAGGTGTAATTGTGAATGCAGAGATGTTTGTCACAAACCAGAAATATTTGGGCTCCTGGTAACAGCCTATTATTACAGTATTAGGATTTTTCAACATCATAAATCATCATGCTTTCACTTAAAATGCGAAATTTTGGCTTGTCAACGGCGAACGTTGTGGCCTCTTTGTAGTGGCGGTTATGCCTATTAACAAGGAAAATTAAGCAACAGCTTCTCAAAGCACCTGGATTTGATGTCTAGAGGCATTTCCAACTGAATAGTAACATTACTTGCGAGTACATTCTTTCCAGAAAACAATTTTATGTCATCGAGGAGGGATGTCAAGAGTGTAGTTACGGAAAGTTTCCCATGTCATCGAAGTATGCGGGTTCGTACATCTGTCAAGCGATTCCTGTTAATACAAACTCGACGGAGGGGTGGACGCTGACAAAGTGGATGAGTCTGGAGCCCCACCAAGGCGCAGTGTGTAAGTCTTAACTAGTTAGAGAGGGTCTCTTTAAGGTAGTAATTTTATGAGCTGCCATTCCCTACTTCCCTTAAGCTTGGTTGCATGTGGTGATGAAACACCATTTAGGGTGTCGCTTAGCTGCACCCATGTGCCTTGGAGTTCGCTCGTCCCTGCTCCTTCTTTGTCGGAATTCGTTTGACGTGCTGTCAATTCAATGTACTTACTTAGCAACATTAAACTGCGATCAGACGAGAGTTAGTGAATGTTGAGGAAACTGAGTACGGTGCCCACTCTTGGGGTCCTTCATGGGTATCTTTGTCACCTAAGCACCGTAAATTACTGGTACGGATGATACTCCTTTCTTTCAATTTTATTATGCAGCCGTGATTCGTGCGTCAGTTTTTGTTTTTCTTTTGAATCTAAGCCATTGCAGGCCCCAGTTGTTTGAGTAGATTCTTATGTGGGGAAATTATATGTTCATTTTCCTAATGAATCGTATTTGAACCACTCCGTGCCCTTATCCTACTCACTCACGATGACCGCAACTCCCCTGTCTTTGAATGCACCACAGCTGAATCATCCGAGACAGACGTCATCAAACTTTGTGCAGGAAATTTAAATGATGAACTTTATCGGCAAACACGAAAGTGTGATTCAGCTCCACACAACCAGCAACCACAATGGGAGGTTGGATGTGTTTTGCCACACCAAGTGATTTAATTTGCCAGACGTTCGGTCCCGTCTGCAGATTTTCGGTGTCGTCTGTAGAGGCCGTTTTGCAATACTTCAAAGTGGCTTTTACAAGATCCCTTCTTGATGACTGAAGTCACCGTTTTTCCTTCTAGGTCGAGATCCTTAGCCCTCTAATTACAAATAGCATACGAACTCAGGGTTCCTTTGATCACTATATCCCAGTACAAGTCCTGAGGTGTATCTTACATTCCCGTATTTTAGTGATGATCCTCGGTATTGTGCTCCGTTCGCCTTTCATTTTGATCGTCCTTCGGGACTTGGCAGCCACCCTTGTTCTCCTTGGGTTTATTTGGTTAGCCACTTAGTAGAGGTAGAGGGTGAATTTAGACGAAGTGGCAACATTCAATTCGTCTGTCTGATAACCTATCTGCCACTCCGTCCACCTCTCCATCTACCGATCCACCTACCTGTCTATTTATTTAACTATCTATCTATTCATTTACCTCCTCCTCTACTTGTGGAGTGCATAGGAGCCTGTTTGGACAGCATGCGAGATATGTGAGGCTGGCTTGAATGGATTCGTCTACGATGTTTGCAGAAGGCATTTGAATTGTAAAAAATGAATCTCTTTGAATTACCAAGAGGCTATGAGAAAGCAAGCTAGTTAGGCAGATGGACAGAAAGATAATGGAAGGCAGTATAAATATAGTACTAGGCTGAAACACTTGATTTGCGATTCCTTATGCCGATTAAGGGTCAAGGACGGAGAGAGGGTGGTACCAGGTTCACCATCCTTGAAAGTTTGCAGGCTGTGACGACGCAGATTAGATGCAGCAATGTTGAAAGGGCAGCTTGCTCACTAGGCACCCACCGACGGCGAAGTGAAGCAGGTCACCTTGGCGCTGGACAACCGCGTCGACGCCCCTCCTTATGCCCACGAAGCTGGCTGCCTAACAAGCGCAGGTGGTAACGATTCCAACGACTGTGTGGGGCATCTGTTACACAAGATTTATTCTTCAGCTCTGCAGTAAGCTCTGTCATTATGATACACCGGACCGATGGTTGGCATAATCGACTATATGCAGAAATTTGGACAGAACAAGCAGCTGCAGACATTGCCTAGTGTGCATGGCCACAAGCCCACGATCATGGTGCCTGTGGAATAATGGGTGCGTCTGCTCGATCAAATGGAGAGTGATTTCCACTTCGTGCTGGAACCTCAAGAGGTCTGGTGTCTCGAAAGCCTATCAGCGTCATTAACATCCCCTCTTTATTTCGCCTTGTAGAGTAACCCCACCACAATTTGACACATCATTCCTTATAGTCTTGACACATTTATGAAATAAACTCGTAGATACTAATTTTTTTCTCAAATATTTTGCCTGGTTTCCATTTACTCGATTTGTCGGGGTGACGTAATGCTAAGAGGGATTATCGTCAGCAATACTTTCACTGAATTCAAAGTACCTTTGATGGTTCTGGCGGTTGGTGAAGTTAGTAGCAGCGCCTCAACTGGGAACGGATTGTGCTACGAAGCGTTTCCCTTCAAGCACGAGCAATCGGAAGGCAGGAGACTTGAATTACCCATTTATCATAACTATGTACAAAGTAGAAATTCCTCCACTGTCGCTTTCGATCTTGTCAACAAGCGGACCTTCCTTAAGGGGTGTGAATATTATCCTCCTGAAAAGTGGGATTTTGTAGACGCAAAATGCTTGTTGAGGAGGTAGTTTCCAGAACGAAAGGAAACCTGTCAAGTTCGTTAGCGTTTTCTACCCGTTCATTATCTCCCACGCACCCTGAGTTCCTTACCATATTATTGCCGAAAAATTTGTGTGGTTTTTGATGCAGCTGTAGCGTAAGTTTCACAGCCTCGTAGCGAGACGTGCTTCGGTCTCGGCACCGCGTTGCTTAGTATACTCTAATTTACGAAGCGACTTTAACCCAGCTCTAGGGCTGTGACAGAAGACAGCATTTGGAAGAGGCATCAGCACCAGAAGGAATCACAGAGAGATAGATCGCATCGAGGTAGCCCTTCCACTTTTCGATGGCATTGCAGAATTACATGTTAGGAACAACCTTCAGTAATGGCTTAACAATGCGTATGGAACAATGACCTTAGCCCTTAAAACCTCGAACACCTGGAACAATGACCTTATCCTTATAAAACATCGAAAGGGAAAGGAATAAAATCGCTGAGCAACTGGCTGTCGCGTGCATTCACAGAGGAGAAGTTGAAAGGCTGTCAACTTCCCATTTTCATGCCACATTCTATCTTGCGTATTATGAACTGAGTTGCTGTTAGGTTTTCTGACTGACTGACTGATTTGTATTGGAATGTCTTCTGTAATGTGCTGTTTGGTGAGCGAGCGAACATCTGATAGACTGTGCCCAAACAATTCACTCACTGCACACTTCCAAGGCATGACATGTCACAATGCGAATGCGCTACCTGCGGAGGCTGAAGGGAGTAAGTAGTTGGACTTGGCGTTAGATCAGCCACTAAACTGTGCACTTTATTCGTGTGTGTATGCGTGCAAGTGTGAGGAGGTGCAGGGCTGGACTGCGATGTCCACAATGAATTATTCACTGGGTGACGGAGACCGAACAATCCGGGCCAAATCCATCTACTTGATGTGATGCAAAGTGGAGATAGGGGGAAGGCAAAGCTTCTTATTGCAAGGCAGTCATGAGAAGTGAAAGAATCAGTGTGACGAAGGTCTTATTTCTACGCGAGAGTACGGCATAAAGGCTTATACCGCGTACTTACAACTGGACCCATGGGAAGATGTGCAGTTGAGGATTGGAAAGCGCGATGAGGCGATACTTACTGCCTCATCTCCGTTCTCATTCTCATCTATGTGGACATATTTCGTAGTCTGCTGACAATATTTCTGCGTGTGGCAGATGCCACTTTTTCTCGGCAAAAGCATGAGACGACCACAGGACTGTATGAGATAAGGATGAAGCTGTTGGGAAATGAAAAGGGGATGGAAACTGTGGTAGCCCCTCTTTCGATTTGGATTTACATAGCAAGGAGTTTTTTCATTCGGACAAGGTGTCAGGTTGTAGTGATATTTGTTTCAACATGTAAATTTTATGTATTTCTTTTTGGGTGCTTACTCAACCCTACCGCTCGACGCCAATAATCGGCTCGATTCCCCATTTCGGCCTCATATATGACTGTTTCTACCCCAACGTGGGTGGGATGGAGAGCCACATTTGCCAACTA